AAAAACATCTCAAACTAGCTATTAGCTATATTCTAAAAGAGCTATTTGTAAATGATGCCATTGCTACTTAGCCAACATTACCATTAACATTTAATTACCAGTCTAGAAGAAACGTGAGCTCAGCATCAAATGTCATTCCTACTGTTTTGCTTCTTTTTCCATCACTTCTTTTCTTCCACTGAGGTTAGCTAACGCTGATCAGCCCAGTTGGCCCGTCTCGTCACTTTCCGATACTGCGTCACTGTAGCCTCCAATCTGCCCTGAAGAAGTAGCTCTGCTCAGTACCTCTTGTATGGTAAACACAACGAGGGCTGAGGCTCTTGACTGCTAAATAAACAGCTGTTCGTGCTAACTGTAGCTATATAGCTCCTTCAATTACATTGAATACAATTCACACTCTCTTACTTGTTGCTCTCTGCGTGGTAACTGTAAAAATCCCTGCCATCTGTCACCCTTCCCTCTGAGCTCATCACACCAGTTTTCAAAACTGATTTTCACATGTGGAAAATTACTTCTTTGCATGGATAAAAATATCTCATGTGCCATGACTGAAGACTCGACTGTTTTGCCCATGACAGCCCATTTTAACAGCTATTATCACCACTACATGAAACTTTCAACACTGGAGGAAAACAAACGTAACCACTGTTTTATCCCTCCTGCAGCAGAATCAGTACATGATTCCAACAGAGGAGTTCCTAATGAAAACCTAATTAGCTCCAGCATTGTAGGCAAGCAAAGAGTTAAATGGTTAAATTGTGCTGCAAATACATTTACTCTCTTTCACTGCGCGCATTTATAGTATCAGGTAAGATGTGGTTTATTTAATTTCGAAATGTGTAAATGAACTCCCTGATGCAATTACCTTCACATTAACAAGCTCGCTTTTACATATTGAAACATTAAGATGCGTTTTGTTCACTTGCTCTGATGTAGTCATGTATACTCTGCATTCACTTGTGCAGTGTTTGTATATGTGTGTATGTGTAGGTGTGTGTGTGTGTGTGTGAGATGGAGCACTGTGTCTGGCCTGCTAAACCCCACCTACCTCCCACTAAACACAGTGCTATTATTAAAAATGTTGTTCTCGCTCCAGTGTCAACTTTCCGCTCGCTCAGAGTCGACACATATATTGCACAGAATAGATGACTTGTCAAAGTTTTCTGAGGCTGTTGGACATGCAGGCCCTAATCCTTCCGATAACCTTTGAGGACTGGTGCTTTGGCAGTAATTCACTCTAAACACATACTCAGAGGGGAGATGTGGAAGATCCCACCCAATAGTATGAAGTGTGGAAAACACTGATCCGATGGCCTTTGCACTCACTGATGGTGGATTTTGATTCAGTCTTTCACATACTCCACCTCTATGTCTGTATACTATATAGATAGATAGTAGTATATTTTATAGTATATTTTACAGAGGATTTGAGAACAGAAATTTGGTGATATAGAAATGCATAAATCCTCCTGTTCTGTTGTTGTTTGTGCTGCTTTTTTCCAAATGTAAAAATAAACCCCTTCTTATGAAAAAAAGTTAAGAAAATAAATAAAAGAGTTTTTTAATGGGTTACAGACACTTGTCTATACTCGTCTGTACATTTTTAATCTTGTAGGTTAATGGTCGGTTATAAAGTGTCAGCTATCTGTGAGGGAAAAAATTTTAAATGAGCATCCCTGACATGCACATACCCTACGTACACTGCAATTTCATAAATGTAGGTGTTAAGTTCCAATGCATACTGTACGAGTAAACCGCCTGCGATGTAAAGTCAAAGGTCACAGTTTATGTGCTCAAGCCCTGCAGTCCGATCGTCGAGCCACGACCGGATTGCTCACACTGCACCTGCAGAAAGCTCCTCCAATCAGGTAGAGGTTTGTCTTGGCTACCAAACGAAGCTCATATTATCTCTCTCTCTCTCTCTCTCTCCGTCCCTCCCTCTCCCTCTTTCACACACATTAGTCACCAGTGCCAAAAAACGAACAAGCTTGCTCAATCAGAAAAATATTACCTGGCAGCTGGAGCTTGGCCACTATTTCCTTCCAACGGTTGTCTCTGGTATAACGGTCGTGACAGGAGGAGGAGGAGAAAACATCAAACATGCAGGTGTGCTGTTACGACAGCTCTACCAGCCTGGACATATAATGCGACGTGTCCAAAAGTCTGAGACCACTAGACCACTCTGATCCGATACCAAGTAAAACCCAGGATGATATCTCCAGTAACAATACGATATCGATACTTTGTACAAAATACACTAAAAGGAGAGGAAGCGACAGGTTGCATAGGCTTACTGTCTTATATAGAATTCCTGTTATTGAATTTTAAGTAAAAAAAAAAAAAAAAAATAGCAGCAAAATACACATTAAGAAAAATGTATGCCATAATAAATGCATAATTGAGTCTGTGAATCTGTCAACTGCCAGTCAAAACAAATGAGGCTGGGTCAGTGAACATATTGGCTGCTCATATGCCTACATGTAGTAAAGTAAGGGTTGTTGCTTCTAGAGCAAATCATTTAAGATGGATATGTGAGTGTCATTAAAATATACAGTGTTATTGGCAATAAAACGGCCACTTCAGCATCCTGGGCTTTGAAAATAATAATGTCACTGATAAATATTTTATTGAATTGATCTGAGGGTTATGTGATGTGAGGCACTGATCTTCGGAGATATATTTATTGCAGCATTTATTTATTTCATTACTTATTTCATAACCATGTTTATTTAATTAGCTGGCATTTATTTATTTCAATCTGAATGAAAGGAATAGTTTGAAGGGTGTGAGCGGCTCCAGTTGTTTGACCATAAACTGGAGCCTGGACAGATGTGAATTTACAGTCAGTGACAGTGATAAATGTCACCAATAGCTCCTCTCTCTTTGTACCTGGATAATGCTGCCGCTGCCAAAGGACTGAATGAGGACTGTCTCACCCGAGCAGCAGCTCTCCTCTTCTTTAGACCACTGCTGCATAACCTCATCATATTCTGTACTGTGATTAAATCTCGGATGCTTAACAAGGTTTGTGGTGTTGCCACAGTACCTCACAGTCCTCCTACACACATCACATACAGCTCGCTGCTGTTCTGAGGACTGAAAAGTTCCACATAAGATGTTTACGGTCAGTCATCATCAGTGTCAACATTCTGTTCAGTGGCTTACGCTTTTATAGAGCCATTGTTTGCATGACTATGACAGGCGGAATGAGAAGTAATTCCTATCAAACAGGTATTATTTAGACTAGATCCTGATGTGTAGTAACTTTCCTCTGTGTCCCTGTTGATGATAAAATACACATTTACCTCAAATTACTGAGTTGTACAACTGTACATGGAGAGTACATATTTTGGAGGCAGGCTGGCTAGCTGCAAGTCTGTCGTTTGTTTCAGATGAACTTTGGTACTGCTTTAGTCTGATTCACTGGATATAGGCTGCCACTGGCCGCGTATCTCATGAGGCATTCTCCTCCCCCTCCGCTTCCCCTCTTTGCTTCAGGAAACAACAACTGCTGAGCTAACAGCCTAAATGCTGAAAAAGGGTACGTTTTGATGAAGATTTGGATCATTTAACCACATAGCAGACATATGTCTTTTACTGTTTTTTGTGGCATTTTCCTTGCAGGGAATTAACCATTTTAATAACAGTGGTTGCCTCCCCTTGGACAGATGTTCCCAAGTTCCCCCTGACACTAATTTGCAGCACAACTGTCGCTGCATCCTGGGCTCAGCGCTGCCCAAGACGACCGCGATTCATTTCAGAAATGCAATTTAGCCAGAGTGTTTTTTTCCCCATGTAGCAGAATGATAATGGGTGCAGCCTGACGGCACAGAGAGATGGTCTGGCTAAGCGTGACTACTGCTTTGTCAAAACTGGAACGGAGGTGAAACAATAAAGAAACTGGCTGGATACTGCACAAACTTTGCCACATGTATGCCTGTGCTCTAGATAAATGTTTCAGGAACAGTTGGTTTATTTAGAAAAACTAGCAAGGCTACCAAAAACTAGCCCACTGGCACCTTAGACTTAGCTAGGAATACACGTTGCATGCTAGTGGTAGCCTACTAGGGACATCGTCTTCCTTAGCTACATAGCCAGCTAGCTACCTAGCTACATTATTTCATAATAACAATAGCAACAAACATGGATAGATCAACACAACTGTACAAGTTGTTGTAAGTTGTCTTACAGCAACAACTCTCCTAAATCTACATACTCCTCTGATGAACATTTAAAAAACATTATCTGCTCCTAGCAACCACTAGCAAAACCTCTGTGATGAATGAAATTTGCATCACAGCAACGTGTTCACCAGCACACCAGTGACCAAGGCTGTAAATCACTGTATAAGCTTAGACATTCAGGACTTCAGTGTAAAAATAGACGTACCTATCTCACCTGTCTGAATCATGAAGTCAGGATGCAACAGAAAAAGGTCCCATATCCAAAAACTGAAATGCCATTTTTTTTGCTGTTAATAATAATAAAAAAAGAGAAATGTGATCTGCCATACCTTACCAAAGAAATCTGTGCCTTCCTCATCCCTTTTCAATAAATATACTCTTTGGTTGGTTCCATATATCCAGTAAACATGTTTTAAATTAGATATCTAATTCCAAACATATTTCAGCTACCTGCTTCAATTTGCAGCTTGTACGGTGAGCTGTTTATATATATTTTATTTTCTATTTTGGCATCTTTTGCTGTGTGGACATATGCACGGAAGTGGATTATGCCACAGAGTAGACAAAAGATTTTGTGTATGTTATAAGATATTTTGTTGCATAAATCATTACATTATAGTAATTATGTCATATATATGAATGCCTGAGGTATTTCAGCCTGGACAAAAGAGTTTGACCCATATTTGCATGCAACATTGTGTCATGTTTAACCTACACAGCTAGTATAAATATTATGCTTATGATTTTTTTTTAATGTTATTAGTTAACTAAGAAAGACATCAGTTCCACTTGTGTATCTACTGATGCACTGAGTACCTTGGTTTTGTCGTACAGGATGTGGTTGTCCAAAAGCATCCGCCGCTCTAATCGAGCAAACCTCCTCAGGTCTCTCTCAAACTGCTGTGGAAGAAAAAGATCAATAGTCTGAAATCAAATATCTGTTTCATTTGTCTGTTTCTATGGCATTGAAAGGAAATAATGAATGCATTTGTCTTCCTGGAGGACTTTTTACCTTTGTATGTCAGTAGCAAGAGGCTTTTTGGATATCAGACATTACAGATATGTTATTTTTATAGTGGTATACATTTGCTCAACTTTGTGTATTTTCAATATCTTTCAAGTTTCTTTCAAGGTCATTTAGATGTTTACAACGTTTGACTTCTTAGAAACAGACTGCAAATCAAACCTCCTTTTGGTAAAATAAAGTCTACCTTGATCCTGATGTTGTTCTTGCACTTAAGAAACATTTTATTACATGATGTTGGCACACAATAAATTATTAATCATTAAAAACAGAGGATCTTCTACATTTTTTTCTACTCATGGATTCCACCTGCAGCAACCTCACTGCCACTGAGTCTCTACAGTCCTTCGTACCCTGGATCCGGTCCAGCCCAGAAGAGCGAAGGCGTAACGATCCATAGGTGGCGACACCAAGTCCACGCGCACCGCCCGCCAGCCCCTGCTGTCCTCCTCGGTACTGTTGAGACCTCCCTCCACTTTGCTTGCTTCCAGCCGCAAGATCAGGAAGCACTTTGCAAAGTGGTCCATAGCCTCAAACCTGTGGCAGGGAAGCTTGGACATATCAAAGGTGGAGGCCTGGTAGTCACAGTACAGCAAAATGCCCTGGTAAAGAGAGAGAAATAAAACAATTTGGCATGAATATCTGCAGTTAATAATTTATGTTAAGTTTCATATACTACTATATATCAGCCAGACACGTCAGTCCTTAAGGTATTCTCCATAACGATTAAAACATTAATGGTTGGAAAACTTATAGGATGAAGATAAATATTAAATTCAGTTTTAGTCGTGCAACTAAAATTATGAAAAATCCCCATGGGTCCTGGGGAGCAACTTTAAGGAGGGCATCCACTCAATCGAGCTCAAGTGATCACCCAGGGACCCTGACAGCAAAAACCCGGTCATCTTTACCCCTGACTTGAGAGCAGCCAAAAACAGCCCTATCTGAGGATCACAGTCTGCATGCTAGATCAGAGAAGGCTAAAAGTACTGGAGTCAAATCTAAGGTGTTGATCAGAATTAAATCTGATCGATAACATATTTCCAAACCCACGTCATGTTTTGTTAGTATTACAGTCATTTAGACAACAGGAGGATATAACAGCCTGCATGATGATGTCTGTCACTGACTGGCAGTAACAATTTCATTTTTTTATTTGTATTCAAAAAACTCAATTACTGGAAGATTTAACTTGGATCAAAAGGCACAATTATAGTAAAATGTTTAACTGCGTGGCTTGATGTTATTTGTTAAAGCACCAACAGATTCGCTTTTGTCCAGGCAATCAAAACAACTTCTTTTCTGTTACAAATTAGCTGTGGAAAGTTTGGTCACATTCAGTCCCATACACTTGTCTAAAAGTGATGCAATTTTCATTAAAGGTGTTTAATTTGAAGTGTTGGTATCTATTATAAGATGTGTTTGTGGTTTTAAGAACTAAAACCATCTCAATGTAGGTTTACATCTCCTCTCTCAGGCTTCATCCTGGAGTTCTAGTAACAACAGGTCAGTGAGCCAATCAGAAGAGAGGAGGCTCTTCTGAGCCTCTCTTCTGATTGGCTGACTATTTTCTGTGTGATTATATGATAATATAGCAGATTTCAGGTAAACACAGAGAAACCAAATCCTGTGAGGTTGGATGGTGGGTCCAGGTGGGCGGGGCTTGGGGCATGGCTGAGTGTTGTGACACCACAAACTTTCAGAAGTCCTGATGGCTAGTTCAGTCTCTGAATACAGGCTGTGTGCATTTCTCTGTGGACTGAGCGCTTTGATACTTTCACAGTATTAATATAGAACCTAGACCTGCTCTATAATCAAACAACACATGGACATCTACCTTTATACAATATGGGACCTTTAATGTCTAAGTACAAAGGTTTTACAGGATGAATACTGTCAGTGAAGCTATGCTTGCCAGTCTGCCAGAAATCTGATGACAATTGCTCCCACTGTCTGACCTAGAATTGAACCTAGGTACACCAATTCATGTACAGCCCTTTATTTGAAATCTAGCAAAAACTTGGGGTTCATTTGCAGCAAAATGCTGTACTTAACCACAACAGCCCTATCACGCAGCGTAGCCCTGTTTCTTAGTTTCGTTATAAGATCATTCACAATCTCAACACACAGTTTCAGTGCTGTGGTGGTACTGTCAGAAACCTGACTGCAATTTTTACAAAATGTTATTGCTTTCCATGAGCACTGTGGGCTTCTTTAAAATCAGACTCTTCATGATCTTGGAGATAAAAGGCAGCTTAGATGCAGGCCTGGAGGTATTGAAAATGGTTGAGTCAAGGTTATGTTTCTTTAAACGAGGTTGGATATTTGCCATCTTAAAATAGTGAGTGGAGAAATGAGATGAATTTCGAGGAGGAGGATGCCTAGTGGACTAATGGATGGTCTGATTAATAGTGCTTTTTTTTTTCTTTTCCTCATGTGAATGGGTTATGTGACTGTCTCATGTATTCTAATGGTGTGGCTCTGGAAAGTCTATCAGTCGGTGGGTACATGGACCACTTTGGCCCAGACTGAAATATTTAACAACTACTGTGCCATGAGATTTGGTACACACATTCATGGTCCCCAGACAATGAATTCTTTGGTGAACATGTGATTTTTCACCTAGCGCCACCACGAGGTTGACATTTGTGGTTGTGAGAGACATTTCTTAGAAACTATTAGATATTTGGTACACACATTCCTGTGCTCCTCAGGATGAATTGTAATTGTAACTGTGGTGATCACATGACTTCTCATTTAACCCCATCATCAGCTCAACTAGGGGCACTCATCAACCTTAGCTGTACTTCTTACCAATTAGTAAATGTTAGTATCTAACACACAAATCTAACATGGTGAGCATGGTAAACATTACATCTGCTAAACATCACCATTTGAGCATGTTGGCATGCTGACATTAGCATCAAGCTTCAAATGCTGCTGTTCCTAAGTACAGACTAACAAAGCTGCTGGTATGACTGTGGGCAAAAATCTGGCTCCTGGGCCAATAAACGGTCTTACAACAAAAAAACTAGCTGCCCTCAAACTATGAAAGTTTCTGTTTTATAGTTTGATGAAAAAAATTTTTTAAAGCAGTGTCCTTTGGGATGTAAATCCAGATAAATATGACACTGTAGCATCAAATAATAATCAGTCATTTCAAACACAAACAGGTGTAACAGGCAGTGTAATGAAAATGATGTGCTGATAAAAAATTAAAAAAAATCTATGGCAACAACAACAGAACTTTCATTCAACCATAAGTAAAACAGGTCACTGTTGTTGAGTGTGGCTAACCTATCAATTACATTTCAAGAGTCATAATGCAAGTCAAAGCATGCCCTTTGCATTTTTGAGTATTTTGGGCCAAATGAATAGGAACAGCTGCTGCTTTCAGCCATTACCGACTAATCTTTAATTAGGATTTATAAGTCTGATTTATTGCTTAGAGAAATAAATTGCTAAAAAACATAAAAGTCCTCTGAGAAAAAACAAAACATTTACAACATATCGGGTTGCATCTCTACCAAGCCTGTGAACAATGGTGAAAAAAAGAGGCCCACAGTTGAACCACTACAGTTGTCTCTATCAGACATGTCTTCTGTTGTTTTAGCGCACTTAAGTACATTGATTGTGTATTTATCAAAAAAAATGTAAAAGTCAAAAGGAGCAATCTTTTAGAAGCTGCAGTAAGTCATGTTAATACTTGTGAAATGAATTCATGAATGAAATCTGCTCGGTTATTAAATCAAGAGCAAATCAGCTCGATTGGATAAGTTCAACTTTAAAAAAATGCAACTTTTGTCATGCCAAACGAACAAAGGTAAGTCGGTAAAAGGACTCTGTGACTGCTGTATGAACATCTGCTGAGACTTGTCATCAGACTGATTTGAGCCTGGAGTGGTGAAAAAAAAAAGGGACGGTTGAGTGTAAGATCCAATAGAGAGATGAGCCTCCAGTCAGCCATGGTAGATGGCTGAAGCCCATTCCCTGGTAAATGGTTCTACTCCTTAGATAATGGAAATCTCTGACAAGTAAGATGTCAGTGTGTTGAAGGAGAGAGGGCCACTGATGAGAAACAAAGCTTAAGTGTAGAGAAAAGTGAAATGGAGTGAGTGCAAGAGAGTTAGAGAATAGAGCGTTCAACCTGTAAGCGAAAGTAAGAAATAGGTGGATGAGTAGATAGTGGGAGAGACAGAAAAGGAGAGCGAAGAAAACGACAGAGTCTGTGAATTGATTTGCTCCAGGCCTCGCCCTGGCTGATTATGCTTCTCCCTGGATGCAGGGGTATTAAGGCGATTAAGATTACAAATTGTCAATTTAATTCCAGCGCCCGGCGTAATTGTTGGGATACTACTCTCCTCTCACTGGCTATAAATCTGCCACACGCTCCTTAAAGAGCAATAATTGGGGAAGCGACTGCAGTGAGCAGCCGCTCTGCCTGTCCAGCCGATGACTTAGGTTAATCACAAAACATTAAACACCTTGTCAGCATAGCCGCTGCTAAACAGTCCTGCCTCTGTCGAGCCGCACACGTTATCAGACAAGGACAGCGTTTCCCAGAGGGCAGTGAGGGAAGGGGGTAGTGAGAAATCCAAGGTGGTGACGGTGAAAACCTTGAGTGACGCGCAGAGGGAGCAGATCTCAAAGAAATCACCAGCTCCCTCCTCTAATTATCTTCAGGGGTGGACTCGTTTGTCGTGCAATCACAGGCAAAAAGTTCTTGATGCCACCCTCTTCTGCACCTCTGGATCGCTCCCCCTCTGCAATTACAGATAACCATTCACCTTCCAATAATAGGCAGGGAGAGGGATTCTTAAAGTTCCCTTTACGTTCTGTAAAAGCTTAGCTAAAGGCACTGGCAGCTCCCACTTAGATAATGAGGCCAGAATGATGGCATAAAAGCATTTAAACACTGACTAATCTGAAATTAAAATCCCCTCGAGCCACACTTCAGACAAGTTGTGGGAGAAGGTCTGCAACCCATCTCATACATAGGGCCGCAAATGTAGGTCACTTCTTATTCCTGTATTCCAGCAGATATTTCGGTCCCTCCTGGCAATACATTTCTCTCAGCCTTGAATCTTATTGATGCCTTCCTGAGAAAGGTATTAATGCATTATGGCGACAGTTGCACAGACCATTAAGTACCTGAATATGGATGCCCATCGTTCAATGAGGTTTTCAGCCCTCCTGCCTACGCACATACAGTACAGCTGCGCTGCTTTCTCTCAGTCTCTCTCTCGTTGTGTCTGACACACATACACTCGCAAATCCACCATAAAAACAGGATGTCATGAAGTTCCCCGTCTCAGCAACGCCGGGGGCTGTTTAGCCCAGTAGCGCTCTGTAATCATCTCCCACACAGCAGGTAATGTCAGCGAGCATCTGAGAGTAAGCTTATTTCACCAAAACTGTTTACAGAGGGAATTACAGAGGAGGACAGCGGGAAGATAATCTTTCCCCCAAAGCTTTGCCTCTGAGCGCTGAAAGAAAAAAAGAGTCAAGTGAACATGACTTTTGAAACTGTGATCTAAAAGCTGAGATTTTTTTTTTTTTTATTTGATTATTAACTCAGGGTCTTTTCTTCAGAGGTGATGTG